AGCAAAGCGCATTTCCCCTTGCTGTTAAGCTTTTAGCACAGCATTTTAGTTTTTAGCACCAATAAAGCGCTTACTCATTTATTTAGACACCAACCAAAAATGGTGCTGTGCATGTTAGTACACAGCAAAACCGCTGTTTGGCGCCTTTAAATTACCTGACATTCATGCAAAAAATAACTGAAATTTAAATCTTTCTTTATTTACAGGTAAACAACTTATGAATTTATTAAATGTGTTTTTGAAATGGCTTTGTTAAATTGGTATGTATTTATGAAAATTATATTTGGTGACATATGATAAAGCGTTAAAGGAATAAATTAAATTATAAATTATAAATATACATATTTTTATTATGATAAAAAATGGAAGAAAAGAATGCGGGTTTTAAAATAATTTTCAAAATTGTTTTCAACAATTTGAGTGAAAAATAATTGTTCATTGATTACTGTAAATAAAATCAAAGTAAATTAAAATTAATTTTAGTACCATATTCAATTAAGTTGAAAAGTTTTTTACATGTAGAACCATATAGAATTCAGTTTACACCCAATACAGCGAGAGTCCAAAACGAAAATCGACTAAGCCACAGTTAGAAACCGAATCAGCAGTTACTAAGTCCAACCCTTAAGCCCAACATATGTAACTAATCCCAACAGGTAAATAGAAGGAAAACGAGGTGAACTCATGCCACAACAACTGCTGCGTAGACATAATAACCTTGACAATCGAATGAGCCACTAAACGATAACAAAACCCAACTAGTCAGACATTAAAGTTAACGCAACATGCAATAGACACCCCAATACAAATCGTATAACCTCGCTATAAGCCCCGATACCCCACTAGTCCTAGAATATGGAGGATTGCGTGACGCTTGCTTCTAAATATATGTACAACAATTAGTTACAAATCAAGGAACCTATGACAACAACACCTGAATAATAGACAAAGTGTAGTAAAAATTGTCTCTACTCACAATCGCATGAGTTTCGTGGCGAGCACGAGCACGAGCACCAAGCTGCCAGGGAGGGTTGCTTATTAAGTTCCAAACTAACTGTAGGACAGATTTAAAAAATAAAAATAATACCACATTTTTGTTAGGAATTAGGCATAAACAGTCACATTCTTGTCATAAGAAATTTCATGCTGATCTCGAGCGGTTTTATTTTTTAGATAACTCAAGGCTGCAATTTCAGCAAGAAGTGTGGTTTCAAACCCTGATTTTATATTTGTTGCTTGCCTTAAATAAATATACAAACTAAAAAAGTTTCAAACAATATATTCAAATATCCAACGAAATTGGGTTAAATGTTTATAAATATATTTTATATGTTTAATTTGTAGTTAATATAACTACAAATATACATACACTTAACAAACTTTCTATCTGAACGCACCTCGTATATGCGCATAATTTGTATATATTAAACATCATAATGCCATTAGTAAAGGAACAAGCCAGGGCATTGCACAGAGGCGCGTCTAATGCGCCCCTTGTGCTCATAAAATTTATCAAAGCAAACTGGGGCTGAGTTCTTGCCACATTGCCACATTGTTGGCGTGTTGAATTTGCATTTCGCTACGGCGCCCAACTAATAAATTTGTATGTCAATAGAATGAAGGAGGCCAAGACGGAGTCGCTGAATCGCCAGGTGAGCGAGCCTCGAACTGCGCAAGGACATTGCCGCTGCGAGAAGAAGAAGCAGGGCGTATTCATATCCAAAACAAATTCTAAGTATTGTAATTCGAAATTTTTCAAAGCAAATAAAAACAGTCGAGTTTTAACGCTCGCGCCAAACAGTACTCAGCGAGCGCGTTGGCAAAAAAATAAACAAAATAAACAAAAAACAAAAGAAAACAAAGTGTGGCAAACAAAAGAAAATAATATTCATCTATATAAAAGAAAAGTATGCATGATATATATGTATATTTGTGAGTGTCATTTGCTGAAAGCAAAAATACAAAACGAATTGCTCCCGCTGCGACGAGCTGCGTATCCTTGCGTTGAGCGCAAAGTGCAAAGTGCATTAGCCTGTACGTGGCCAAGTTATTGCCCTCTGGCTAGGGGAAAATCGATAAAATTGCAGTGTACAGTTGTTGTTTATGGCCAACTGCAACAATTGATAATAAGTCTGTAGGGCAACAGTGCCTAATGTGCACTTTGCTCACACTCAGAGAAAAACGACGCAAGTATTTTGTGCACGAATCAATTGAAGATTAAAATTGCAATACTTTAAGATTTGAATATATGCTAACCTAAAATAGCATAAAATCTAGAAACACAAAAATGTTTCCAACAATATTTTTAAATACTTATCAAACAAAAAAGAAAGGATTAGGGCTCAGTTTATAAAAAAAACTCAATTAGAATTTTAAGAACTGTATCTTGCCTTGAGATAAACGAAAAAGGTCAGAAAATCAAGCCTTTTTAAGTTATTTAAAGAAGAGTTTTTCGCTTAGTGTATTCTGAGTGATAAAATCGCAACTGCATTGCCTCGTTTTGGAAAAACTTTGGCAGCAAAAATCAATTGACTTCTGCTGCTCGCAAAGTTTGTTAACATTTGCATTTTGCATTTGGCCAAATGCGAGGCAAATTCTAATTGAAATGAAAGGAGCGCGCTTAGAGGGTCACAAGTTTCTTCTGTTTCTTTTTCTTTCTGTTTGTTTTTTATTCCACAGCGGGCAGGCAAGTGCGCAGTCAGGCATCGCAGGCATCGAGTATACGTACCACGTGCCCCGACGATTGTTGATAATCAATTTCGCAAGTCTGTGCGCCAGTTGACATGAAAAACATACTCTGTGGAATTTTTGCTGTGCAACGGCGGCCCAAACAAATCATTTGTGCCACTAATTTGCGGCTGCTTGTTGTTTTTTTTTCTTTTTGGGGGGTCTGCAGCCGCGTGGCGCCTCGCGCACAGTTGTTGCCGCTCAGTTGTGACTTTGCACGTGCGAAGGCCACGACGTGGCAGCAGCCACAACTAACTGGCTTAATATATAGTTTAAAGTGTTGCGTAGGCTTTCTAGTGCAATTTGATCGATTTAATGCAAAACTTTTTGGCCTCTGCCCAAAGTTAATTACCCGGTAGTGCCGAGAACCAGTTCCGAAAACTAAAAATAAATTAAAATCAAAATCAAAGCCTGAACCTCAACACATTGACATGAGTGAAACCGATGCGGTGAGTCTTAACACTTTATTGGCCTTATTTGCATTCGCTTTCTGTACTTATCATAAAAATGTACTCAATGCCTAAGAACTGCACGCCAAGCGCACCAAAAACGCAAATCAAATTTATGCACAGATAACAAATGACGAGACAATTTGTATTGGTCTTGTATCATTTTTTCAAAGAGCCCTGTTCCCAACTACAAAATCGCTACAATTTCGCTCTTTGTTGTTGATTTGTAGGAAATTGCTATAAGGGAAGTTCGATTGAAATATATTTCAAACTTTTACTCTTTACGGTTTACTCTTTATTTTTTGTTTTACAAAACTATTAACAAAGTTGTGTAGCAAATGAATGCTCTAGAATATAATGCAAATGCTCAAAAAAACGCATACAAAAACAACTTGTTAACAATATCTTTTTAGGCTAAAAATAATTACTTTGGACTTGAATTTGATTAAGCTACTTTATTTATGAACAAATATAAGGTTTTTATATACGATTTAATATAAACATCTAGTTCGTCGAACGTCTCAATGTTACTTTTCAGAGCTCTGAAGCTTGTGGAGACTGATACAAAAAAAGGCCTTAAGCCCAGATAAGATAAGAATAAAAACATAAAAATCAAATGTTTAAAATGTATATCTTTTGTTATATTTTTGTTTCTTTTCATTATTTTTAAAATAAAAATTATAATTGAACTATTAAATCTTTAGTTTTTTTAAATATATTTATTTATTTAGAGAAATATAATAAATATTTCAGAATATAAATATAAATATTAATATATATATATAATATATATTTAAATACATGCTAGAAAATGTGTTATTGTTTGTTGAAAATATTTTTAATTGTTGTAAGCTTAATTTGAGGATAAATATTTAATATATAGAGAAATAGAGTAGATTTTGACATTGTTGCAAAGTTCAAGGCCATTCTTAATATAAGTAATTAGTATTGGTACATTGTACATTGATATTAAGTTGAGTTTGCGGCTATTTCAAATTTGGCATCCGTGTTGGGATTAACTTTAAATATATATTGAAATCAAACTGAATTCGAAATTCAGAGCTACTCTCAATTTATGCGATTATTCTCCTTACACATATTAAACTTGAATAAAGTCGATTTCAAAATTGGGAACCATATTCAATAACTCGACATACGTGATTAATAATATTTCTACACATTATTGTATTGACCTTGGGAATCGGTTTGTAGCATACCACCAGGCCAGACAGGTGGCAACAATTTCTGTGGCAACCAAATATTCGAAAGAACCCTTTGGAAAGCCAAACAAAATCAAACAACAATTTGGCCAATGGCGCATTGGGGCTTCATTTTTATTTGGTTGGGCTGGCTTGGTTATTCGCTTGGTCTTAGAATTGTCGAACTTTTTGTTGAATCAATAAGCGACAGGGCAAACGATTTGGGTCACATTCCAAGCAGCGAGCGGAATTCATGACAAATTTGCCTAATGGTAACCCAAAACTCCCTCCAAAAATAAACCGAAATACCAAAACAATAAACTGTAAACAAATGCAAAGAAGAAGCCATCAAAATTGAGAGCTCCACTCGATAACCGACAAAATATATTGAAATACGTACACCCACACCCACACCCACACACACCCACAACCACCCACCAACACCCACTCACTGGCTTACCGCACATGCAGGCACGTATGCAAATGATGTGTTGCTGGCTTTCTGCTGCCCCACCTCCTTTTGGCTGGGGCTGAGCGGCAGCCAGGTATCGGATTACCCGACACTTGCACATTTCTGCACCGACACCGCAGGCGCTAGGTTCAGGTTCAGGTCGCACCGCTTCTTCTGAAAGTCTGCAGAATGTACAGCACACACGCGTCCAAGCAGCCGGAGCGCTCCAATTCCCAAGCTGCTCCAACTACAAGTTACTCGAGTCGCGATGGACGCACTGCAGCCGAGCCCACAGAGCCTGGCAATCTAACTCAGGTGCAGCTGCCCGCCACGGACCACGTCCAACGCTCCTATGTGGAGCAGCGTGCCCTTCCCACTTCCGACTATTCCGCGCGCTCCCAGCTAGAACAGTCCAATCTCAACACAGAGCGATTCATGCAGCAGCGGGCGCCGCCGCCTAATCCAGACTATAACAGATCCCGAGCCAGCTTGGAGCGCACCGATTACACCGCTAAAGAACGCACCAGCACTACCACCAACAACAACAGCAACAATTACACCGACTATGTGCTCAAGGAGCGATCCAATCCAAACTATGTTTTGCCATCGCAGATGCGTCCAGCTGCGGGCCCACCACAGCACCGTCCGCCCTTTGCGGGCGCACGTCCAATGGTGGGCGTGGGGCCGCGTCCACCGCTGCCGCCCAATATGGCGGGCAGGCCCATGCCGCCGCCGCTGCGACCAACCGACAGCAAAAGCAACTTGCTCATGGGCCCGCCACCACCAGCCATGCGGCCGGGCATGCCGCCCGCGCGTATGCCCAACCAGGGCGGACCACTCAGCCCACCAGGCCAGGGCGCGCCCAGGCCGCAGGGCGGGTTTCCCTGGTCAGCGGGGGGCATGCCGCCGCCGCCGGGCGCACGTCCGCCACAGAACATGACGCGACCGCCGCCGCCTACATTTGCGCGACCCATGCCAGGGCAGCCGCTGCAGGCGCCCTTCCGACCGCCGCTCTACAACCAGCAGCAGCAGCACCAGCAGCAACAGCAGCAGCACCAGCAGCAATTGCAACAGCTGCAGCAGCAACAACAATTGCAGCAGCCACAACAACAGCAGCATCAACCACGCCCACCCTCAGCCAGCAGCGTGCACAATGAGGATGACGATGACGTCATCATGGGTCAGGCCTTAACCCCGCTCAAGAGCTACAACATGAAGGCTGATCCCATGGGCTCCCCACTGCTAGAGGAAACAGAGCCACCATTCGAAGCCACGTCGCCAACAGATGCATTGCCCAAGCCACAGGGCGGTTACAGTAAGCACTAGTGGGCATGTCCATTAATGAAGCCATTTCCCAAACACAAACAGAAAACCAATCTTGAATGGAAGCTCGAAGACGACGCATAATTAATTCGATTCCCATTATATACTTGCAGAGGGTGACAATGACAGCGGCGTGGATGAGTCGACTCAGGAGAAGGTGAGTTTCCGTTCGATAAAAACCCAAATAAAAAAACGGGTTACTGTTAGATAGTTATTTCAATTTTTGGTGCGCTGCTCTTAATTGAGAGGAAATTAGCTGACTGCAAATTAATTTAATTCCGTTGATCGCCGAACTGCGTCGCCCCCTGCGTCTGCAGCTAGTTATACCCTTGCCGTGGGTATAACAAAAGTGTCGCGAAATGTGCCAGAAGAAAAAATATATATATATACGTGATCCGAAAAAACACTTGAGTCGATATTTTCGGAATTGTTAACAATTATTCACGCGATTTCAAAGATAACTTGATCAAAATTTGCAAGCAGAGTATATGTTTAATTCAACTGGATCGTATCACTATATAGTATAGTTGCAATGGGACAGATCGATCGAAAACAAAGTTCTTATATGAACAATTACTTTGCTTGTCATGATATCTCAACCAATCTCGGCAGTTAGTAGTAGATACATATGTTATATATATTAATTGATCAAACTTAAGTTCTTGTGAGCAAAATCTTTTTTGTTCTTCAAGATATCTTAATCAAAAGTTTCAGTTGCGGTTCTCACCATGCTTTTAAAATATGAGCAAATTAGACATTATCGGCAATAAAGCAATTGTATAACAGTTCTAAAAAAAATTTAAAATATAAAACCCCTACACCTAATCGCCCTATACTTTCATATATTAAGTTATATACACAATGATGCTCAATTAATTATAAAGCAAATATCATATATGCGCCACATCTGCTATATGCAATGCTGTATATCTTCTTCTTTTTTTTTATATATAAATATATGTTTTATTTTGCGCTGGGATCGATCAGAGCCTTCTGATCTCTACCAAGCGAATGCCTAAGGGAAGGGTGTTTAGTTACTATTATGTAACTTATATGTCTGTATATCTACAAGGGTATACAATCTTCGATATGCCGTGGACAAGTACTTTGCTCTTGTTCTTCATTTCGTTATGTTTTCCTGTGTTCACAAATCATAAATATCTGTAAATGGCAGCCGATTGCCGCATTCTCAGCGACCTCTCCACGCTCCATTAGACAGCGCCAGTTGCTGCTCCAGAGCTCTCACAGAGCTCTCGTTCCTCCTCATAGCTCAGAGTTCGCTGTTCGTGTGCAGGCGCCAAAGTTCAGACCAAGTTGTGGCTTTACAGACGTCAGTTGGCGCAACGGAATAACCCAAAAGATACCTCAATTCGCATATATCTCTATGTCTATATAGTTGAATATACATATATGTGTGTGCGTGCATTATCGTCTTGTGACTAGGTCCAGAACTTTACAGGTGCGCAGTGTCGAAATCAACAAAACTTAATACAGTCAAACCACACTAAAACGAACAAAACTAAATTGTGCGCTCGCTAGGCTGCAAGAGCTTAATTCTACAACTTAGAAATACTACAAATTTGAATACCTTTAAAGCGAAGATTATAATTTTTTATCGGACATAGGACTATATGATATAGTGTTTCGATATTGAGAAAATTTTGCTCATGCATAACAAGCTTAAAACAATTGAAAAGATGTTTTGAAAAACAAAAAGTTTTTCAAAGAGAACCTTTTACCGATTTCATAAAAAAGGTATTCAGTCGTCTGTATTCTAAAGACAAACGTTATTTTTTGTTTCGATTTTCATTTTATTCGTTTAAAAGAATGATATTCTAGAAGTATAACCTATACTAACTTGTTAAAAAAGATTATCGAAAACTTGTGGATATGAATGTAAAATGCAAAAGTAGGAGGTTTTTAAGTATTCTAAGTAAATATATCTTTTAATATACTACGTCATCCACCGCCTTCGTGAACAAACAAATCCATTCCCACATGTTGGTCTGCACTCAGAGTCTATAAGAGTTAGTAATAGCAAATGTGGTATAAAGTTTTTCAAATGCTCTATAAGTTTCCCGATTGCCCACAAATCAAAAATTCTCTTAAAAAACAACTTGTAATCGCTTTGCTTTGCGTTAGAGCCTTGATTTATGACAGAGGCATTCGTTAGTGCCCATGCGCACCCCTTCAAGCTCGTTGTAGCCAAATACGACTGTACAACAAATTGCCAAATGTAATGCGATTTACGAGCCAAGGCGGCCCACCGCTAGATAAGTGCTGCCTGAGGCAAACACGAAACAGTTTGGGACAGGGCTTTGGCACAACATTTTTCTTTTCGGGGCGCCATGGGCTCTATAAATATCTGGGAAATAAATATCCATTCCATTCATATGCAAAGCGACACGAAGTTCGGAGGCCGTGACAATCGATAAAACAATGCATAAAATATGTGAATCCTTCGTGTCGGCCAAGTAGACGCACCTGGCACCAGAGCAGTCAGATGGTCGGCTCTATGGAGACTCAGAGTCATAAATGGCATAGCGTTGACAGCAGCGCGGCACAAAACTATAATTATTGGCAGTCGTAAATTCCGAAATTAAAGCTAAACAATATGCATTTGATTGTAATGGCAGATGCGAGCTATCTGATTGTAAAAGGCAGACGAATTAGATGCCAATTTTTTATTTATTTATTTTTTATTTCACATAGGATCGCAACGGACCGCATTCGCCCAGTTCGCCGGTCAAGACGCCCACATCGAGCTCATCGAAGCCAGACAAGTCGGGCATATCGCGCCCTCCGAGTGCCACGCCCTCAAATAAATCAGCATCCAAGTCGCGCAGCGCCTCCAAGAATCGCTTGCTGCTGAAGACGCCCGAGCCTGAGCCGGCCAAGAAAGGTGAACCAAAATACCAAAATGATCTCAAATAAAAACTTTATCTAATCCTCTTATTCTTAAATCCTTTGCCCTGGCAGTTCCAATGAACAAGGTACAGGTTGGACATGCACCTTCGCCCAATCTGAAGGCGGTACGCTCCAAAATTGGGTCGCTGGACAATGCTACCTATAAGCCCGGCGGCGGTCATGTTAAAATTGAGTCCAAGAAAATTGAAATTAAGGCAGCGCCACGCATCGAGGCCAAGAATGACAAGTATATGCCCAAGGGTGGCGAAAAGAAGGTAAGTCTTAAGTGGTCTACAACTGAGTTCAGGGTTTATTTCTGTCTATAGACATGAAAATCTGGCAACATAAATTAAATATACCCTATACCTAATGCGCACACATGGGCAGACCGAAGACTTACAAATGTACGTAGCAGGCATAAAAGGACAAATAGTATAGAAATATTCTTGATCAGCATTAACTGCATAGGCAATCTAATTGTTCGTCCGTCTGACTGTCCGTCCGTATGAATTCAGTTTCTAGAGCTAGAGACTTCAAACTTGCGATGAAGGTTCTCATAGTCTTAAATATCGAAGAAATAGATTAATATCTCCCAAATAATAAAGAAATAGAGCTCAAATTTGGCATATATGCTCTTCTGTTGCTTACAAAGCTCTGGAATAGGGTGCCTTTTCCGCACCCATTCCCACTATTAATAATTTATAGTTTCTTTACTCATATTTTTGGTGTATACACACGTTTAAATTACATCTTTAAGATATCCAAATAAACATAGGAGCTCTTTAAACAGACGAAGTACAACAAATGTTCAACATAACTCAGCAAAAATTAGCTGCGTACAGGGTATCTACTAGTAGGCCATCTCGACTAGCGCACTCTTACGCTTGGTTTTTTGTTTTTCAATTTTGGGAATTTCTTGTATGAAACCAAAGAAAACGTAATGTATATGATAGAAAATCAATTTCACGGTCGATTTGCGATTCAAGATATAGTCTGTATATATAATTGTATGTATATGCATACGCATACACGTATTTAGGCACACATGTATTTTCCATGCAATCTTTTGTATCTTGTAGGTTTGCTGTAGCAAAATGCAATTACAGATACGCCGCGGCACTAAGCATTATTTGATAGCCTTATGTAGCATATGCCAAATAAAACTGAAACTGAACCCCAATCAATAACAAGAATTTGTAACTGGGTGCGCTGTCTGACAATGAAAAAGGCAATCCGACAAAAAATCTAAATTTAATGTCAATAAAAGCTAAAAAAGCTGAATAGAATGATGATTCATAGAATGCACTATGTTTGGGGCACAAAAGACAAACAGCAGTCACCTTTTGCGCAGTTTTCTTTAAAACAGATACCTTTAATACAGTTCCTGAAGTATAGATCCTCCAGGCAATCAGTCCGGAACTATATGCGTATACACCTTTGGCATTATTTGATAGATTAGATAAACACACGCCGACGTAGTATATGTATATTTTCAGCTAGTGATGACAGAAATGCAAAATAGTACTTGTCATTGGGACGCCAAATAGTTAAAGCAAACAATGAAAATGAGCCAAACTAGGTTCCAATGTTCTGGGTACCAATTAGTATTTGTCCAAATACCCAAAAAAAAAAATCGCTAAATTAGCTTTAATAAGTCAGTCATTTGCAAATCTTAGCAGTTTTAAGCTTACGACCTAGCCGTATTTAGCTCGAAAATAGGAGCTGGCACTCACTGGTATCAGTTTCACACACATGTTTGACTTTTAATTGTTTTACATGCCTTGTTTCTATTTGCAAACCACCAACAAAACCACTAAACCACCAAACCACGCCCACTTCCAAACACCACAAAATGCAAAAAAAAACCCAAAAACCAATTTGTAGATAGTAACAACCAAGTTGCAGTGGAATGCAAAATCGAAAATTGGTTCGCTGGAGAATGCCGCCTATAAGCCTGGCGGCGGCGATAAAAAGATCGAGTCCCTCAAAATGGACTTCAAGGACAAGGCCAAGCCGAAGGTCGGCTCCAAGGACAATGTGAAGCATCAGCCCGGTGGCGGCGATATCAAGGTAAGATTCAAGCCAAAACTTTTTGCAATTTTAAGCGAAATCCGAGTTGTCGTTCTTAACCCGGCGACATACGAGTACCATTTCTTTTATCTCCGATTTATAATTTAATTTTTACTCTCCTGAGCAGTAAGGAAGTTTTTTTTGTTGTTGTTTTTGTGGTTGATGTTCCACTTTGATCTTAACTTTAACTGGCATGGGCATGGGCATGTGCCGCTCCAGCTGCGGCTCAACTGCATGTTTATGCAAAATACACTTTTAGTTCTTTTACGGCATGCTCTCAACTTAATTTTAAGGTGTTTGACCAAACGTAACACTAACACATCCATTCAAAAATGTGCGAAAAAAAAGAAACAAACTGAATGCAAATTTACAGAGCTATTCGTACAAGTTCCCTAACAACGTTGTCTATGGCGAGGGCTCAAAAATAGTCTGCCATCGTCGAATGCTGAATAATACGCGTCTGGATGAAAATTTATATAACGCTGACGATTAATTTGGGTTAGTTGGGTACGTAAAGCTAAAGCTAAAGCTCAAGTCGCTGCACTATAAATCGGTGGTAATACAATATCATCATCTAACTAACCACACTGGGCCTAGCATTGTTAATAGCTGTTACAGTTTGTTAAAGAGCTCCCGATGTTGACATTGCCCAGTTGAATTAATAATTTGCATTTGTACACTCAGAGAAACACGTGGTACTTTATTTGAGTATTATCAAAAATAACTTTATACCGATTTGTCCCGGAGGAATCTTAAATTCGTTGAATATTTTTCAAATTCGCACGAAATTACTTTATGTTAAAATTAATTATACTAGCGGGTATTACCCGGCCTTGCCCGTGGCAATTCGAGCGCGAAACGTCACCCACCAAATCTTTGACCCTCATATCCACCATGGAGGGCTGGACAATCAAATTTTCGACTTAGCATGTTCAGTCTTAGAAAAGTTCATGGCATTTGTACAGAGAGCCTGATATTTTCTCCGAGTGTACTTACATTGACATGTATATTATTCAATCTATGGGAACTATTTAACTTATGCTACAAATTGTATAATTTTCTAATTCATTGAACATAATTAAACAAATATTTGGATTATATATTTTGCTTTAACCGTACAAATATGTGCCTTTAACAAATGATTACAAAAATAAAAGGATAACAACACAAAGAATGTAAGTAGTTTCAATAAATTGTCTGTGCATAAATCTATTTTTAATGTACTTTTGTAAAAAATATGCTTGTTGTCTGTAAGCAATTTTCTTTATTTGGTAATTTTGGACACCTAACCTCACTTTCTGAAGAACCGTGTTAAAAGTAAAACTTAAATCACCTCAGTAGAAAATTTGTCTTGTAAATACATACTTATGTGTAGCATACGTTTTCTCAACATTTTCAGTTTTCAGTAAATGTTTCTGTGTTGTTTGCGCTGTATAAAGAAAAATTCTAAATTGCAGTTTTATCAACGATTGGCATTACGATCCGCTGTCGTGTGTTCATAATCCACGAAATTCCTATATATATATAAATATATATAATCAAGAGTTAAGTGTGTTTGCTAGTTGCTAATCAATTTCTCTGCGTTGCCGGTGCTGCTACAATTTCAGATACAATCGCAAAAAATAGAAATTAAGGCACAAAGCAAAGTTGGCTCTATGGATAATGTTAAGCACAAGCCCGGTGGCGGTGAGAAGAAGATTTTCGATGATAAGGATTATTTGAAAAATGTTGAACACTCTGTTGCACTGACAACACCACCAACACAGGTAAACAACAAACGAAATAGTGTCGAAAAAATTTTTGTAGAACATTTTTAATCTGATTTATTCAATTTGTATTTGCATTTGATTTCATTACGAAACGGAACATGCCCAATCAATTCATACATCATTCAATTCATATACATCTGTACATATACAAATGACATCCCATTTTGTGTTTAGTTCAAGAAATTCATTTTTTAATTGTAATTGTAATTGTAATTGCGTTTGCATTTGTTGTTATCATTTCAATATTAACGTGTATTATATATGGCATATGATCAAGTAATATCCAAAAGCACCGCACCCATTAAAAACAGCACCCACAATGGCTTACGAACCACCAAGAAAATTAATAAGCAACTGTTACTAACTGGTTTTCACTTTTCCTATAAATTAACCCCATAACAATTCATAGCTCTGACTAAAGGCAAAGCAAATAACATCTGAATAGCTCCAAAATTTAAATATTATAATACCAAAAGTATTTTATGGCACTACCAAAACATATATGTACATTTTATAGTGGGTCTTATTTATTATTTTCTTTGTTTTCTTCTGGATATTTTTAAGTTTTTTTTTTATTTTATTTGACTTTACATTTAAAAATGAATTTCTTTCAAACTCAAACTGAGATGCATTGGCAAAAACAAAAATTGAATATCGAATACAAAATTTCTATAAAAAAACGTGCTTCATATTCATACTTACTATACAAGCTCTCGTACTCGAAGGCGTGTTTAACATTTTACACACATTCACTTCTCTTTCTTTCTCTCTTTCTCGCCCTCTCGCTCTCGCCCTCAATATATATAATATCGCGTAACGATCCATCTGGAACTCGTAGTTTGCGACGCAGGGTCGCTTGGTTGCCACCATACACCTAGAATTCGGTCTTTGTAACTCTGACTGTGTGTGTAACGATATATTTGATTCGCTTTTTAAGTGAAATTCCTAAACACGAAGACATGAATATCAAAAAACAAAATTAACCAATTACTAAAAAAATAGTACATTAAAATATAATTAGCTGTACTTAACGTTTGATATGAGGTTTAAAACAGAAGAAAGCAAAAGTATATAAAACATCTCAAACTTTGATTTTTCAAAAGAAAAAACCGTTAAAGAAAAAGATCTCAAATGAGTTTGCAAGAGTTTCTATTTTAAATTATTTTAAAGAAGAACAAAATATAGCAGAAAGTTTGTTAATTTCGGCTAGCTGAAATTTGTTTATACCCTTTCCAATGTTAAGCCCCTTGGAAAATGTATGAATTTCGTAACATTCTCAAGAGATGTTCGCCAAACTGTTGTTAATTCCTTTAGTATTTAAGTAAAAGTAACACGCCAATCGAGTATTATTTATGGCAAAAGTCAAAACTTTTATACTATGTAGATTAGTACAAATTTTTAAAAGATATTGGTTATATATGTATATATGTATGTGTATAATCTGATGATTGTGAAAGTCTGTCCAGCATTTAAAATCATGAAACGTGCAAAATGCTTTTGCTCTCGCCCGCATTTAATACACGAACCTATGTAATACGAATTTAATTGGGTTTGGCTTGAACTCATCTACATAAGAATTAACCAATTTAAATAATTAATTTATATTTTGATTTCATTTAAATACTAAATATTTATTTCATTTTATTTGAATTTATTATAGGAATATATGTATACATTTTATTAGTCATAGTCATACGAAAACTCTTAACAAAGTGCATTAAATTCGAAAAAAAAAAAAGAAAAGAACCGTATACTCGTACTAAACTAATGTGACGTCCATTAAACCGACTTCTAGTTATGAAACGATGCGATTGTATGCCATATTTTCGTATTACTCTCACGATTAAAGTCCTGTAAGTTTTTGCGTGCGAGTTGAAAACTCTTGTGTGCATTGCGTATCTTTTAACAGTGCTGTGATAGATTAACCGAACCGAACCATACCGAACCGTACCGTACCAATAACTGATTTGATCAACCCAACGCCCATATATGGTGTCCCGGTTTCATATGAAAAATTGCTTGCTGTGCTCAGTTTACTTACCCCTTTGTTTGATGCCCTTTAATTTGTCATTGTTTTATTTGAGTTGATTTTTGTAAATGTTTTATTTTTGCCATTTGATTATTTAAACGATATTATATTTTTATCTTGAACGCAGAGTCCACAACCATCCATGACGGCTTCAACAAGCGGCGCTGATGAAAATTTAAATCAACAAAGTTAAATCAAGTCCAAAAATGCATGTTGAGCTGAAGTTTTACTTTCGTTTGATGCAAATTTGCAAATTACATAAATTACAAAAGAAAAAAAAACTAAATTTAAAAAAAAAATAACAAACAAAAACAATTTTGAACAAAGCTTATTTGAAAAATGTAATTTTAAGCAAAAGTTACACAAAATGAAATATATGCAATAATTACCAAACAATACGAGTATTTACTCAAAAATTTCATAATTAAATTGTGCAAGCACACAACACACACACACACATACACACACTCCGTTACAAAAATAAAATAAATAAATTATATGATTAGTTGATCTATGCACTATTTATCAATCAGATACCAAGGCAAATGCATAAACTATATAAATCTATATATACAAACAATAAGCAAATTTCATATACTACAACAAACATATATATTAACAAACAAAAAAAAGCAAATAATAAAAGAAAGTATCTAAAGTATTAAGAAATTATTCAAAGCATAAACAGTTAGTTATTTGCATATATATATATCAACTGTGTGCTTTACGTGTAGTTAAATGTGTTTAAAAATAAAATGAAAAGTGAAACATGAAAACTATCAGATACAAGTTCGAAATTCATACACAAATTTAGATACTTTTACTTTTTGCAAAAAAAACCGCAACCGATTCGAGTACCACAATTTAAGCATACATATTATATGATATATATTTTATAATTTGTACGAGTAAACATAATAATTAGACAAATGCATCATTCTCACAATTTATTTACATCACTCTCCTTTGTTACGAAAATGTAAGAACAAAAAATGCGAATTTTAAGCGTAATAAAACAAAACTTTTTTCATTTACCAATACTTGGCGTTAATTGCACTTAGTAACTCTCAATTCTGACAGCCAATTGGGATATATATTTATATATATATGTAAGCGTAACTATTTGGTAGCAAGCAAAGCCACGTCCACGCCGAAAGCGATAAAATGCTACACACACACAAGCGCACATGTCAACCACATTTGGATGCATTGGTAAACAGAGAACCGAATAAATTTTGACCTAACTAAAAAAGCAAATTGTAAGTTTCCATCTGAAGTTAGTTTGAACTTTGAATTTACGTTATTTCTAGCGATCAGTTACATTTTTCTTTTGTGCTGGCATTCTACTACAATAACGGTCTTTTTCGCTCGTCTTCACAGTATTGGAAAGCGCCGCGCATACAACGTGCCACAACACTGACCTCATCCATGTCCTTGCCAGCGGAATGCCTAGTGCTATCCGTTTCGATGCCCTCACTGAACTCCGAACCTAAACGCCCCAAGAGCGCGGGCGCAAAAAAGAAGCCCGGCCAGGCTGTACATCCCAAACCCTTCCGTTTGTATTGAGCCACGCGCCGCCACCAACACCACGCCGCACCACAATCGTTGCACCGAGAGGAGATCTCCTCTATTTATTTGCGATATGAAATTATTAACAAGTTGAAATCGTGGCACGCGGCACTTGAACCCAAAACTAAATTGTTAATTGTTTACGACAAATTGATGAAACGTGGCATTTAAATAAATAAAAGAAATTTTAATAACTAGGCAATGTTGAGCACACGAAACGAACAGTTTTTTTCTGATTTTATTATAATTACAGCATTGTATATATATATATATATACTTAACGATATCTCGTAAGTAGATAATCAGTTACGGCTGCTGCGTACAAAGACGCTCGCCATTCGTCGTTTTAATTTACATTTACATAAGTTTTCGTTAGATTTATTCTCTTTATATATATAATCGATATAAAAAATTGTTGTTCGAATTGCTAATCGAGTTGTTTTCAAAATTGTGTGCTTGAATTTTTGTTTTTTGATTCGAGTCAAGTCACATTTAAATGCAGTTTTTCCATGCCATTTCCATATCCGTTTTCCATATACACTTTTCGCTATACTTAAGCCGTAAAAGTTTTTTTACATTTCAATATTAAAGTTAGGGACAATAAATAAGTTATTATAAAATAAGAAACAACAGTTGTTACAATTTGAAAAGACAATTTCAAATGAGCGTCAGTTAATTGTGATTATTACAAATAATTTGAAAAAAAGTCTTAGCTAATGTATAAACGCGTTTTATTTTATTTTTATTTTTTTGTTTTTTTTTTTTCTCTAAGAGCTCATCGTCAAGTGTTTTGGCTATTGTTGAAAATTAGGAAACGCCTGGGCTACATTATAATTATAATACATTTAATAAACAAATTAGGAATTGCTTATATATTGTTCTCTATACTTTAGCACTGATATGCGAAACCAATGTTTCGTTGGTTTCTGTTTAGATTTTTGCTGCTGCTCTTGATTAAAATTAGTACAATACATTCGATTCAATTGACTAGATTTCAATGTGTGTAGCTGCTTTTGAATTTTGGTTTAAGTGCTGCTTCTTTTCTTTATGTTAATTACTTTTAGTTTTCTAATGGGAGGGAGTCGAATTGTGTTTTCTTTTGTGCCATGCGGTTCTGAGTGAATTATGCAAATAATATTTTGACTTATACATATTCAAAATTACAGAGTATAAAAATGATAATGCTCAATGAATCAAGTGCGCAAGTTGTGTTGATTTGTTCACGCTTAGGTAGAGATAGATAAGGGCGTTCCATTTTATGTGTGGTTTGTTCTCTCTGCTGCTTCTGAGTATTCTCTGATGCCGTTTTCCTCTGCTTATTTACATAACTAAACACTTTCGCTGGCGTCGCTTTAATGGCTCCGGCTTCAGCACCGCGCGCACCGCCTCCTCGAACACCTAAATAATTAGAAAATCGCATTGAAATAAAATTATGTATCCGTTGCTTAGGTGTGTCACTTACTTGCTTGAGTCCGCGCTGCGTCAGGGCGGAGCACTCCATGTATTTCACAGCGCGTATTTTGTTCGCCAGCTTCTGGCCTTGTTCGCGCTTAAGCGGCGTCAAACCCTGCTCGGCTAGGCCGCTCAATGTCTCGCGATCGTCACGCAAATCGATTTTGGTGCCTGAAAGCAAGAAGGAGGTACCCAAAGTCATGCCACACCTGAGAGCTAAAATCGCATCCACACACTTACCCACTAATATGATGGGCGCGTCTGGGCAATGATGTTTGATCTCTGGATACCATTTGGAGGTGACATTTTCGAACGATGAGGGGCTCGCAACGCTATAGCATATCAGGAAGACATCTGTCTGTGGGTAGGAGAGCGGCCTCAACCGGTCATAGTCCTCTTGACCGGCTGTATCCCATAGACCGAGCGACACTTGTATTGTATCCACTTGCATAGGTGCGGAGTAATTATCAAAGCTGTGCGGAAATGAAGTAGTTGAATACAAATATGATTAGCGAAGATCAGCGAGCATATGTGGAGAGTTCGGAAAAACTTACACTGTAGGCACATATTCACCGGGAAAACTGTCTGTTGTGTAGGAGATTAGCATGCAAGTCTTTCCGACGGTACCGTCACCAACGACGACACATTTTATGGGTCTTCCGGTTGACATCGTCGAGTCGTGACTGTATTTGCTGAATGAGCGAAATGTGAATGTGAGTGTGTTTTTCGTCAGAATATCTTGTTTTGAATGAATGCGTGCGCATTTAATTCAATTAATTAAGCTATACTTGAGGCAATAAACTCTATACTCAACTCTCTACATGTTATCTGACGGCGCAATGATATGTGTATATATATATATATACATATATCTGCACATACGAACATACATTGACAATTTAATTACTTTTAGTGCCGTGGCGAGTGTATACTTATATATGTATATTTATACATACGATCAAAGGCTGGCATCAAAAGGTGTGTCCCAGCCGCAAACATAATAAAACGAAAGTTTTATATACACTTCAGAGCCTTTTTTTTGTTTTTTGCAAACAATATTTACGAAAATAGATCATGATGCGGTAGAGATTGCGACACACATAGAGAAAATACGGAACACCAATGTCTAGATACCCTTACTTATTGATCAATATCTAAAAGAAAACCGAGAAAACCATAAATCCTTGTTTACTCGGAAGCCTGTCAGATGTACATATGATACAAATATTGCACAGATCTGGTCGCAAAAAAAAATTTGTGGCAAAAATAACAAAAAATAAATAAATATATATATGTACATATATTTAAAACATATCTCTTGGGTTGTAATGAAATACTATCCCTAAAAAGATGGTGCCAAATGTACATACATATGTGCGTAGCCTGCAGAATCTGATCGTAAATATTGATTTAACCTATCAATTGTTCATGAATACACATACATATGTACATATGTACTATATACATATATGTACATTATTTTCTACTTAGGGATGTCTCCTTCAATGCGTTACAGATTTCATCACAAAATTAAATTACTCTCTCTCGAACTCTCACTCTCTCTACGCACACACACGCGCGCACATACAACAGCAAAATGGCAATAGTGTCGTCGACAAGAGCCCTCGGGGGCGCCAATGAAGCAGCGCGTCTGAATGGGCGTCGAGCAAAGCTGGAGGGGCGGCAACAGACGAATGCGCCCAAATGTTGGACGGACGCGCATTGTTAAAAATATACACAATTAAGTACTAATAATGCAGGCGGTGGCAGAACTTGCGACCCCACCACAGAAAAGCGGCTGGGCATTAACCGTAGTTTGTAATGCCAATTCAATTACAGTTTAAGTGAAAAAGCAGCGGACATATCATTGCAGCCACATGCAATGCAAGTGCAGAGCAGGGCGCGCTGATCTCTCCCTCTCTCTTATTGTTATGGTCGAGCGCTGCTGTGGCGCTGGACATTCGTCACTTTCGCTCTGTTGTTGTTTTGCTCTCAGCGGGCGCCGCAACCGCAGACCGCTGCCAGCAGCTGCCGCACGTTCACATTTTGCGTGCAGTTTAGCTTATATTGATATACACAAGCAAATGTATATGTATATAACCAGGTTAATACCGTTTCTTAACTATCCTTTGTCTGCGGCGGCAGATTGGAATCGTGTATTGTAATCGAGCTGTTTTGTACTTTGCTTATATCACTGGTATTTGTATTTGTATGCAGGACACAGTCATGCACATGTAATGCGATGGCAAACACGCATACACACACTAACGTTTCAACTAACTTTAACAATATATTATTATTATTTTTATAAATTAATAATTATTTAGGTGGCAGCGCAGCGTTTGTATTTTCTTTAAATCTGCTTTTTTGTTGTACACCAACACTTACGCACACACGCGCGCACATACACGCCTTCTTTTGACAGCGTCGCTCAACTCTGACAAGCAGTGTTGCAATGCGCGTCAGCGAAATCATCGCTTTTAACGCTGCACAACACTCAAAGTTATTATGCTGGCTGAAATGAGTAAATTGTTTATTATCAGCCGTTTTACCAGTTGTAATAAACTAATTCAAGGCGCACTTGGTTCAAACTTGTGCAGCAAAAAATTCTGTCTAAGTGCTGCTAAATATTCGGATACGGGTCAAAGCGATGCACCAAGAGTATTGGTTGAAAAAGATGCCAACATCACATTGATTGGTATCAACAGAGAGCAACAGCGCAATTCAATTGATGCAGCAACCGCGGTGAAGCTAAGCGAGGCCATCAATCAATTTGAGGCGGATGACACGTCGCCTGTGGGAGTGCTATACGGCGTGGGCGGCTCTTTCTCGGCCGGCTATGATTTGAAAGAATTGGAAGCGGAGGCGCAACGCGGCAGTCTGAACTTTTTGCTGCGCCATGAGGGCTCGGTGGGTCCGACCAGGCGGCACCTACGCAAACCCATTATATGCGGCATCAGCGGTTTCTGTGTGGCCAGCGGCCTGGAACTGGCACTTCTCTGCGATCTTCGAGTCATGGAAGACACGGCTGTGTTGGGCTTCTTCAATCGGCGGTTGGGCGTGCCCATAAGCGATGGCGGCACCGTGCGTCTGGTTGCGGCCGTGGGCTATTCAAATGCTGTCGATATTATAGAGACGGGTCGGCGTGTATACGCCACAGAGGCACTGCGCATTGGACTAGTCAATCGAATTGTGGCCACAGGAACAGCGCTGGGCCAGGCAGTCAACTTGGCATTTTCGATAGCCAAGTTCCCATTGGCCTCGTTGCAGCACGATCGTAATGCGGCACTGGATAACGCCAATGTCTATTCTCGTCCAGGTTTTCATGCAGCCGTAAGCAACGAGATCATGAATGTGACTGCGGCCATGGTGACGAATATGCAGGAGGGCGTCAAGCGTTTCAAGACATGTAAGAAAAATGTATTATAAGCAGTTCTTTTTTAATAAATCCTTTCTATGCAGCTGAAGCAAAAGGCCCCAAAACGGATGCCTGGCACGTCAAGGAGAAGTCTCTACCGAATTGGGAGAGAGCCGAAATCGAAATAGAACAACTGCTAAAGAAGAAGAAATAACAAAATGGCAATATTCCACATCTCAAATGCATTTAGTGCAATAGCATGTAATATATGTAAATAAAAATGGTTTTTTATTGTTTTATTTTTTGTTGCTGTTGTTTGTTTATTCACATATAATATATTTTTTTTAATTAGTTGCAGACTTAAATCGTTTACGATTTGAGTTTTGAGTTTATTTCAATATTCACAACAATTACAATAACGAAATTTCCTTGAAATTAAGCCTAACTACAAAAAAGAGAGTAAGAGGAAAAGCACAAAATTTGTTTCGTGTGTGTATGTGTGTGTGTAAGAATGTTTGTTTCACAATTAGTTAATATATAAAAAATATGCTAGTATTAAGTACTCGTACACACATTCAATTTTTTTTTAAATGTTAGGCCAAGCGAGCTCTTGTTAATTTTATGTTTTTGTTCCAAGCGATTTTTGCTGTTAATAAGTACACACATATATGGATATATGTTTTTCTTTAATGGGTTTTTGCTTATAGGCTAAAAATTATTAACGAAAGGAATTGTTATTATTGCACTTAAGTCGAGAAAAACAAACGAAGCCCAATGCAAAAAAGGCTGCTGTTGTACAAACTAGTTTAAAAATCGACTGAAAAAATCGTTTTCATTCAGTTACGCACATTTCAATGCGCACACGTACGCACTTTTTGTTGTTTTTTTTTTTAATTCATCGTACATCATTAATGCTTAACATTTACAAATTTTTTTTATACTTAAGCCAAAAAGTTTGTCATACAAATATTGCACAAAAAATGGATCGGACTGTGAGTTTTGCACACCAATATCAAATTGCTAAACCTTCAATCAAGTGGTGGTATGAGTTCATATATCGTTTCGGATATTACATATGGTATTCAGAAACCTAAAGACCACAATACAATAAGTACATATACATATTTACAAATGAAAAAGCCAAGGCGCGCCTTCTGTATAAAAAATATGCATTATAAAGCAATTGCAACTTGCTGCGACGTTAGCTGGCGGCGTGCTATAAGTCCTATATAGTAATTTATATATATGTAGTTATATATATTTAATGCTTTACGGTAATACAGCATTAGGCATATGCTTAAAATCCAATTACTTGAGACGCTGTGTTACATTGGCCAGCGCCACGGCAAATGCCTGCAGCGCCGAGAAGGGATACTGAAAATCCAAGGTGTACGCATTGCCATCAATGCGTCCAAACTGCATCACCTGCAAAATATTAAGATTTTTATATATATGCTAAATATATGGTCACATACATATCGGTATAATACATATTCACTAAATATACATGTAAACCTTAATATACAGGCTTGACAGATTCGAATTTGAAGCCCATTGGAAACAAAATTAAAGATTCAACATAATAATATATGTATTAATAACAATTATGATAAATTATTCTGTTTTTGGAGGTATTAACGAAGCTTTACTTTTCTGCTCGCAAAACTGCACAATCGGATGGTATTTAATCTTCGGCATGCCGAATATAGCCGTTATTTTTGGTTAGAGCTTGCATTGGGTCCGCACCTGCTTGCCACGAAATTCAATTTGAAAATTCTTGGCGGACTCCTGGGTGACGCGTCCGCCAAAGTCCAGCTGATACACTTGGCTCATCTCGTTCCACATGGGCGCCTTGTTGTGCATCACGAACTCGCGGCGCACTGGCGCCGGATTGGCGCAACTGGCACTGCCATTTGGCTCGATCTTGCCACGTTTAAGCTGCACAGAGGAAAGCAGGTTATCTTTATGACTTGCAATTATTTACCAGCTGCAGAGCTCACCTTCTGGCGCAGCTGCGCCTTTTGGAATGTTTCCAGATCGCGATACTGCTTTCCGTTGCCATTGCCACTGCCGGCGCTGCCCATTTCCTCGCCGGAGCCATTCGTAAGATTGCCCTCATCGTCGGAGCTCTCAATGATGCTCGGCTTCTTTCGCTGACGGCGATTCAGGAGCGGCGAGTTGAGTATGTGGCGTATGGGCGAGTTGCTCTGCTGTCGCTTGTTCTTCTTGCTGGCCGCCGGCGAGGCGGGTGAGCTACGCGGCAAACGCTGCGGCGTCGATGGCGGCGTCAATCGACCCTCATCCAGATCACGCAAACGACTGATGATATTTTCGAGAGTGGTCAAAGCCTGAAATGGAAAGGAAGGTTAAATAGGATCTACAGTGCTGGATATATTGGATCTATATTGCTGCTAGAAATTGAGCAGCATATGTCCCATATGTCAGCCCAACGTTTAAACTTTTCTGAACTTTACGAGCACCGACACTGTTAAAATCTCCAAGATGTGCCTAAATAAAAGCTGTTAAACGATATTTATCGATTTACAGTAAACGTCGTTAGTTATCGATCATTTTCAATAGGCTCGAACTGCGTACGTTGTACGAGAGTTAGAATGCCAAAGTTGGTGTCTATAGTTTTTAAAAACACTGCGATAAGCTCAAAACACAGTTGCTTATTGCTTCGAAATTTATCGATTTCAGGTATATAATGCAAGTTATCGATAATTTTAAATCAACGAACTGCGACACAAAAACCTATACGTATATTTTGGTATATATGTATGTATATAGGTATTTTAATCGGAGATGTCCTCATCTGCCTTGATACACAAAATTAAACAACTCCTGCATACCCTTCTGGTCACTTAATGGTTACAGGTTATAATAAGTAAATCTAAATCGTTGCCCAGTTCTCACCTGCGTGTGCAGTGACACCGACGCCTTGGCCTCCACGGGCGTCGCCTCCACAGGGCCGCAGGCAACGCTGCCCGTTTCCGAATGCTGTCGCTCCAGCGTGCTGGCATTGCTGGCGCCCTGGGGCTGGCTTTGGCTGGGCGCCGGTTCCTTGCGCCGCCAGCGCACCTCGGACAGCTGTTTGACAAAACTAAAGCTGTTCTCCTGCTTGCGGGCGAGCAGAGGCGTTGAGTTCTCCGTGCTGCTGCCCGGTGCTAGCTCCTTGCTGCGTCCATAGCCAAAGCGATGTTTGCGGGTGAAAAGCGGACTGTCCGTGAAGCTAGTGATGACGTCGAAGCGTTTCTTGGGCGTCGGTTTGCTTGGGACCGCTACAGCAGCTGCCGGTGTTGGTTCCTTGGCGGGTTCCACAACGACCGTAGTGATCTCGTCCAGCGCCGCGCTGGCCGCCGGCTGACAGCGCTTGCAAATGCTAGCGGGATTCATGTTGTTGCGGCACTTGAAGCACAGCGTGTTGGCCGCGCTGCTGCAGGCGCTGCTGTCGGATATCTCCTGCAGCTTACGCACCACCTGCTCGTGCTCCTTGCTGGACAGTTTCGTTTGCAGCGAGAGCAAATCGCAGGAGTCCAGGCTCTTCGATTTGCCCGTCTGCTGCAGCTTGTGCCTGCGCGCATCCGCCTGCTGCTGACGCTTGCGAGTACGATTGCGCCGCTTATCCACCAGGATAAGTCGCTTGTTGGGCGCATCCTTGCGCAACGCCGACAAGGCCTCATCTGAAGGCGTTATGGCCACCGAATCCAAATAGCCCACGCTGCAGCTGCGCGTTATGGAGTCGGGAAGCGCGGGTGCTATAGAAACCACAGTCGGAGTGCGCTTCATGCTGCCGCTGGTGGCAGCTGAGGAATTGGCGGTGGCGTTGCTGCTGCTGGTGGTGGGTGTTGGCGACTGCGTCTCCTCGTCTATGTAGAGCATGTCGCGACGCTTCGTTGTGGAGCTAGCCGGCGCTGCGCACTTAATAGCTCGTGCGTCCATGCGCTCCAGATTTAGGTTGAGATTGAGAGGCACAGGATTCACATGACTGTTGGCGGAACGTACCGGCTCCGACATGAGCGCGTTCTTCACCTGCACCACATTGTTGGCATAGTCCGCATTGCTCGAATAGGACATCAAGGTGGTCTGACCGGCGGCGGGCACGGCGGGCCGCTCGAATATGATGTCCGAGGGCGCCACCGCATTCTTGGGCGATTGTAGCGTCGGCACGGAGCCGTCGCAGTAGAGCGGCGAGATGGCATGCCGGGACTGGCAGCTGGAATTGGAGCTGGAGCGGCTGTAGCTGTTCTTGAAGCTGCTTATGGTCTTGGGTCGTGTGAGATTCTTGCTGCAGCTGGCAACAGGCGCGGCACAGGCAGCGTTGGCGGCACCACCGGAGCAGCTGGCGGGCGCCTGATGCAGCAGCACGGTGGTGCAGGAGCTGCCGTTGGCATTGCCAGCCGCTTCCTGAGATTCATTCGAGGAGTCATCGTCATAGCTCTCAGCACGTGCCAGAGGACTAAGACCCACGGAGGACCCACCTCCGCTGCCTCCATTCACAGTCAGCGTGTGCGTGTTCTTGTGGCGCGCCAGTATGCGATTCGGGCGCGGCGACATGGGCGCTATCGGCGGTGCGGAAGCGCCGCCCTCGTTAAGCCGACGCAGGGGCATAATTGGTGGCTTTAGAGCGGCGATCGCTTCCTGAGTAGCGCTCGTTACGCTCACATGAGGCACTAGCGCATCCGTGTTGTGATTGTGATTGTGATTATGATTGTAATTATGATGATGGTCCTCCTCGTCCTCGGAGAAGAGATTCGGATTGAAGCTGGGATCGGGCCCGGTCGGAAAATCATCGCGCAGCTCCGTTATGACCAGCGTCATTTGACGCGGCTGCAAATGCAGTAGGGACGTCTTATAAGTTACTTGGCCTAAATTGGCTGGGACGGTTTTGGCAAGTCCATGGATCTTGAATTTCGTGCCCCAAATATTGGAGGTCACCTCCACCAGCTTGACTTCCTGCTTGGAAAATATGTGAAAATTAACGCATGCAATTCCAGCTTATCGGACTTAACCGCTCGCATTCTCTCTCTTTCTCTTTCTGTCTCTCTCTTACCTCGGGCAGTGTATCCACATAGGCCAGCTCATCGAGGCTATCGGGATCGTTGCCCCCACTGCCACTGGCCGCACGATCTCCGTTCTGCTGACGCCGCTTGGCGCGCACGCGACGTTTCCTGGGTGTGCGAGGCGAGCCAAGGCGGGAGCGCTCATCGAAATCGCTGTCGGAGGAATCGGTGCGTCCGCTGTTGCCCGTCGTGGTGGACTGACTTGATCCGGAGCTGCTCTTGGCCTCGGCTGCATA